GCCCCGCCCCACGCCGCGTCCTCCCCGCCACGGCCGCCGCAGTCTGCGCTTCGCGGCCGCACATTCCACAGAAAGCCCTAAGGACTCACTTTCCCAAAGCCCCCCTTCTTTCCGCCTTTGATTTTTATTCATGAGCTTTAAAAATTACACAAGAACATGTGTATGGAACGAGATAAGGCTTTGTGGCTATTTCGAGGAAGCAAAGGACTGAATAGGACTTTCAAATTGTAGCGAAAGTTCGGATAAAATTGGGCAGCTGGCCTTACCCTATATCCTCCAACATCACCACCGCCTGCGCCGAAGCGAATGAAAACAAACACTAACGATGGCTGTGCCGGGGAACAATCGCTTGCTGAGTTAAGGCAGGAGTGATCGCTTGACGGAAGAGAGGAGCCCTGAGGAAGACAAGACGTGAGTGCGACAGCTTGCTCAGTCCTGGGACCAAAACGCCTGGAGACTGAGCCAGCAACCTCCTGAGGCTTGACGTGCCTGTCTGCGATCCGCTACCACTGCCGCCCTGGGGCTCAGAACCTCAGCCAGGAGGCGCGGCTGGCCGGCCCCGGGCCCGGGCCTCCGTAATGAGAGCTCCTAGATCCTCTCTGTGCCTCAGCTTCGCAGGTACTAACTTTGGGGGGGGGGGATACCCCCAGATCTTTCAGCGCCCCCGGATGGGAGGCTATGGTTTTGCGGCCCCTTGGCCACCTTGTGAAAGTCAAAACCGGCTACTTGGGGTTCAATCCCTGGAAGCCCTGATTTCTTTGGAAAATGGGGTTGGCGTAGGGCCCATTGACTTGTTACCAGTCTGCACGGATCCCCAGAGCTTTCCTATCGACATTCTTAGTTCTTTGGGTTAGATCATAAGGGTTCCTGAAGGTAATTGACGGGACCCTAACTGCGGGTTTGGGTGCTAATTATGAGATCGATTTTCATCCAGTCAAGATTTGTTGAGTGCCAAATATGTACTCCGCGTGTAGGTGAGGGTGACTGTTGACTAGTGAAAAAGGGACCCAAGGTTCACGACTATCTTCTTACTGGCAGTGGAACGACCCGTGGAAACCTGCGATCCGTTCTCATTAATAAATCTCTGGGTAAGTGCCTAAGCAACTTTTTGGGCTCATCACTAACACATCTCGATTTTCACTTTCCCAAGCAGTTACTTTCCAGCTGTTAGTCTGGTCAGTTCGGCTAGCATTTCACTTTTACCATTTCTCCCTCTTGCCACCTCACAGCCCAAGAAAACTAACAAACAAAAAACAACCGACAGATTTATTATCTCTTTTCTCATCCTACTTAGTTTAAAACTCATCTAAGGTGGTAGAGTTTATTGGACACCTTCACTGGGAGATATATTAAGAAACAACAGACTCCTCACCCCTTTTTCTTTGGTACTGGGGATTAAACTCAGCATCTTTACCTAGAGCTACATTATTTTTGTTTATTTATATCGTGTTAATTTATTTGTGGGTTTTTTTGTTTTGTTCTGTTTTTTGGAACCGGGGATCGAACTCAGGTCCTGACGCTTTTGAGGCAAGTGGCAGAACCACTGAGCTAAATCCCTGGCCCTGTTTGTGTTTTTTTTTTGTTGTTGTTTTGAGACAGTTTCTCTCTGTAGTTAAAGCTTGCCTTGAACTCATGGCTATCCTCTTGCCTCAGCCACCCAAGCACTGGGATTACAGGTATGTGCCACCAGGCCTGCTTTTTATTTTTTGAGACAAGGTCTCACTAAGTTTTAAGTCCAAGCTTGTGATTCTCCTCCCTCAGCCACCCAGAGTGGTGGGACTATAAGTGTTTCACTATGCCCAATTTAGACCCTTTTTTTTTTTTTTTTTTTTTTTTTTTTGAGACAGGGTCTCACTGTGTAGTTGAGACTGACCTGGAACTCACTATATATCCCAGGCTGGTCTCAACTCACAGAGATCCTCCTGCCTCAGCCTCCCGAGTGCTGGGATTACAGGTGTGCGCTACCACGCCCAGCCTAGACCCTTTCTTTAACTTCCATGTTTTTATATGTTTTGTTATTACTAGGTCTTGTAATATGTGGATATCATGGCTTTGGGTAAATTATAAACTTTTCTGTTTTCAAATTTACATCTTTTTATCTCTGGAGAAGTCTTAGCGATGCTTAAGGAATGGAGTCTTAACTCAGTAACACCACTCAGTTATACCTCAACCAGAAGGAGTTCATTTTATTTTTTATTTTTCTGAGACAGGATCTCCCGCCTGACCTTGGCCTTTATCTTGTGATCCTCCTGCCTCCAGTGCTGGGATTACAGCCTTGTGACACCTGGCCCAGTGCATTCTTTCTAATGTTGAGGTGTTTCTACCCACCCCCAGCTATAAAGTCTGTTGGAGATAACATCATATACTGAAGTTCTTTATTTATAAAAGCCTTATCAGTGTTTTTCTCCCCTATCTTATTTCTCAGGAAATTATGGAGAGACCTGATGTTGGCCTTGTTTATTCTGTTAACAGTTTTTAAATTGTTGCTAGTTAATTAAGCATGGCCTGCAGCAGGGCTCTCGGCACATGCCTATAATCCCACCTACAAGGGTTTGTCACCACACCCGACCTAGTGTCATTCTTTTATAATCTTTTGCTAATTATTCCTTCTGCTGAAAATATTTGTCCTCCCTTTTTTTGTTTGTTTGTGTTTTAGATACTGGGGATTGAACTCATAACCTTGCCCTTGCCAGGCAGGCACTAACTGTGCTGCTGAGCTACATTCTCAACCCTGTTTTGGTATTTTTGAGACAAGTCTCACTGTGTACTTAAACTCACTATGGAGTCTACGCTGGCCTCTGAACTCAGCAATCTTCCTGCCTCAGCCTCCCATGTCCTTCTTTGGTTGAGTCATCTCTATCCAGTTTTATCACCAACTCCCATCTGAATTCCTGCAATAGCTTCCTAGGAGGTTTCTTTTCATTTTCTTTGCATCATGTCCTCCTCTCTAGTCAAAGGAACCGTATTGAATCTGTATCTCACACCATTGGCACAGGCTCCTTATTTATTTGCAGACCGGGTCTCCCTATGTGGTTCAGACTGGCCTTGTCCTCACTGTGTAGCCCGGGGGATCCTCCAGAGTGCCCAGCTGTGAAGGACTATTATCTTTTAGGGATTTGGGTGTGGTGGGCCTGACAGGAAACAAACCTGGGAAGTGAAGAGAGCATGACCTTGGATACTCCTATGCTCATCTCTGGCCTTCCTCAGTACTTCTGGTTTTTCAGTCCCTTCTTGATTTTCTCTTGTCATTCTAATGTGTTAAAATCAACCATTGAGAAATGTTGTCATTAAATTTTAGAATGTCTTTTTTTATAGTTTCTGCTTCTCAAAGTTTTCAGTCACGTGCTTTATAAAGTTGAACATTATAAACATAGTTAAAGTTTATCTAATAACTATTACATATATTTTAGTGTGTTTTGGTGTCATATTCTGGCCATGTAGGTTTGTCACCATGAACACTCTTTTTTGTTTTGTTTTGTTTTTTTGAGACAGGGTCTCACACTATGTAGAGTTGGGACTGACCTGGAACTCACTATGTAGCTCAAGCTGGTCTCGAACTCACAGCGATCCTCCTGCCTCAATCTCCAGAGTACTAGGATTACAGGTGTGCGCCACCATGCCCGACCACTTGCCTTTTTTTTTTGGTCCTGGGGATCAAATTCGGGTTCTTGCACTTGCAAGTCAGGCTCCAGACCAACTGAGCTAAATCCCCAGCCCTCGCTTTTTTTTACTATGTGCTAGACATTGTAGTGAAATTGTACAGATAATTTGTGGGCTAGGGTGACCTCATCCAATGTTGTTGAAGGTGACACTGTTGTAGCTGAGTCCCATTTTTCTTGTGGTCCAGCCTAGTATCCAAGTTCTGGGCTCAAGCAAACCTCCTGCCTTAGCCTCCCACGTTGATGGGACTATAGATCTGTATAGCACTGTATCCAGGTTCCCCTATATTTCTAACCAACCTGCAAACCAGACTTCCCACACTGCCCTCCTTGGGTTTGGTAGTTTGCTAGACCAGCTCCTAGAACTCAGACAGACCTTTATATTTACCATTGTATTACAAAGGACATCATAAAGGATGCAGGTGATGGAACAGATGAACAGATACTTTGGTCAAGGTATCCACCTCCCTTTGGTCCCTCTGGTGACCTGCCCTAGCCCAAGGATGTGTGAGTTCTGCTCTTAAATTACCTCTTTGTCTTGAACCCCAGTTCCTGGAAGGGCTCTGTGAATAACAAGACACTGCTGTTGCTCCAGGAATTCCAAGGCTCTGAGCCTTGGCGGGGTTTCAAAGGAGGAGGTCTTGTACTAGGCCTCCTTGGTCCACGTTTAGCTTTCCAGGATGTAGGAAGGGAGAAGGACTGTCTCAAAACCCTGAGGTAGGACCGTCCAGCAGGACTCTTAGTGGGACCCATTTTGGGATCCTGAGTTCAAAGGCAAAGACATAGTGTGAGCTAGGTCCCAAGGGGATAGAAAAGAAAGCTTCTTTGGAATGAAGGATGGATGGCCAGCTGGTATCTCCCAGGATCCATGCCAGGAGGGGTGTGGGCTGTGCCCCCGGTGGGAGTAGGCACTGGCCTCATTGATGACTGGGATCTTGCTCTAGCCATGTTCTCCCAGCGTTTTGACTACTGCCAAAGTAGGTGTGTTGCATAGGCCCTGTTGTGGCTACGGCCACCCTGCGGCCAGATTTATCAATAATGGGCTTTAGCCTGGGGGGAGCCTCTCTTTGGAAAGGATGTTGCCTTTTTTCAGTGTACAGGTTAGCATTCTTGAGCTGAGTGATCCCACCCCAGGGTGCCATGGTGACATGTTTCAGGGTCAACTCCTGGCCGAGGAATTTGGCTCGATTGGGCCAGATTGGCTGGGTTCCTGGCATCTATGACATGAGTTGCCAGAGGTTTGAGTGACAAGTCAGCCTCGAGCAGGAGGAGGAACAGCTCCCAGTTACTGGTGTGGGGTCTGTTGGTATCACCAGGAAGGCAGCAGCAGTTGGGGGGTAGGGAAAACTGACCTTTTACCTCCTTCGAGTCCCACACGGCTGAGGAACTGAGTGATACTTTGCCCCATGGGAGGCTGGGATAGAGAGAGGCCTTTCTATCCCGGTGATGCCCAGAGTTGCGCGAGAGTCTTCCAAGGCCATGCACACTGAATTCTGGGCCTTCTTTCCTGGCTGCCATGGTGGTGGATGACCTTGACCCCTTCTGGGAACCAGGGTAGCCCTTCCAGTGCCAAGGGTCCTCACCCATATTTTTTTTTTTTTTTGAGACAGGGTCTCACTGTGTAGCCCAGCCTGCCCTCTAACTCATGGCGATCCTCCTCCTCATCCTCCCTCGCCTCTGTTCTGCCACACGTGGCAAGGAGTTGGTGGTTTTTGAAGCCCCTCTTTAGCCCAGTGTCTCAACTGTTTGCACGTAAAGTATCCAGATTTGGGCCGGGGATTTAGCTCAGTGGTTTCACCACCTGCCTCACAAGAGCAACAACCCAACTTTGATCCCTGGTATCAAACAAACAAAAAACAAAGTACACAGACTCCCCCCGCCATCGCTCTGTGGGTTACCCGGGTCCCCTGTTGAAAGGGGTCTCGAGCCCCCGTTGGGTGCCCCTTACCCAATTATGCCACTCACGCACCGAGAGGTCTGGCAGGAGATCTTTATTGTAGGGAGGTGAGCAGGAGGCAGAGGGCAGAGAGCGAGAGAGGGAGAAGAGGAAGCACTGGGATACTTATAGGGCGGGCAGTGGAAGATCTTTCTTTGGGAGGAGCGGTCTTTGTTATCCTATCGCAAGCCAGGTTGTCTTTTGGATTTCGCGCCTTGGAGAGGCTCTAGTTTCGCGCTTTACAATTTCGGCGGGAGAAAGGACTCAGAGTCGGGAAAGAACCCGGAAGTAAGATATAAAATGGCTGGGGGGGGTTATATTTTAACATGTGTGATCTCCTAACACCTGTGAACTTTGTTGTGGACCTGACCTGTGAGGGCCAGCATGTCTTTTTTGGTTTTCTGAGACAGGGCCTCACTATGTAGTTGAGACTGACCTGGAACCCACTATGTAGCCCAGGCTGGTCTCGAACTCACAGCGATCCTCCTGCCTCAGCCGCCCGAGTGCTAGGATGACAGGTGTGCGCCACCACACCCGGCGGGCCAGCATGTCTTTCGTCTGTCTTCTTTACTCGATTCTCGCCTGTCTCCTCTGTCCCAGTTGTTAGTCTCTGTGAAAGCCAAGTTGACCAGTTGGCTCATCCCGGCCTGAGGGCCTGTTGGAGCTTTTGGGGCTTCCTCCTAATGTCTGAAGTTGCTCAGCTAATAAGACATTGACCCAGGGGACTTTGGGCCCCACTGTCTATTTCCATGCCCCCTCTTATAAATCTTTCTTTGTGGTTCTGGGGATTGAACCCAGGGCTGCTCCCCTTACAAAAGATTTAGAGACAAGGTCTCATTGAGTCACTGACTTGCTCAGCCAGGCTCCACCTCGCAATCCTGCCTCAGCTTCCCAGAGTGCTGGAATTACAGGTGTGTCACCACCATGCCCAGCCACACTCAGATCTTTACAGGCCTGATGATTTGGGTGCTCCTATTGCTAAACAGGCCTTATGGTCTCTCTCTTTACTGGTTTTCATTTGTTTTCTGCTGCCAGGGATGGAACTCAGGACCTTGCACTTGCAAGGCAGGCGTGGTGCCGCAGAGCCACATCCCTGGCCCTATTCTTTAATTTTTGAGACAGGCTATGTTGAGGTCACTAAATTACCCAGGTGGGTTTGAATTTGAGCTCCTCCCAGCTCAGCTTTGCAGAATGCTGGCATTCTAGGGGTGTTGTACTACACCTGGCTCCTGTTGCTGTTGAGATAAGGGGTCTGGCTGTGTTGTCCAAGCTGCTGTAGTACTGGTGGACTGAAGGTGTCCACCCCCAGCCCTGCAAACCAGCGCTGTGGCTGAGCCGCCTGCCTCACGTTTCCCTGCTCCCCGCTGCCTACAGTAGTAGATGTGTGGTCTTTTTCACATTGTCTTGTTACTTCGAATACTTGGTGTTTTATTTCCATATGATGTCGGGTTTGTTTGTTTTGTTTTGTTTGCTTTTCGTTTGTTTTGTGCTAGGCAGAGATGTATAGAGGATGGAATCCAGAGGGGCTCTTTAATGGAGCTGTACCCCACCTGTTTTTATTTTGTATCTTGAGGCAGGATTTCTTTTTGGTGCCTAGGCTGCCCTGGAATTTTTAATCTTCCTGCCTCAGCCTCTCAAGTAGCTGAAGTATGGCTTGTGCCGCCTTGGCCACCTGTATTTGTTTAATCTAATTTGAGAATTCTTGGCTGCTGAAAGCCGGGACAAAGGGTTACGGGAGTGGCTTGGCTGGTTGTTGATGATCCAAGGGTGTGAAATCTTGATTCATGACTGAGACTTCTCAGGAGTGCAGCCTTGCTTCTGCCTGTTTCTAGGGGTTTCAGTAACTCTGGACCAATTTTAAATTGGCTTCCTGGCTAATTAATTACTTCTTTGCTATACGTGTAGATAGTGTGACTTTGTTGTATCTATATGTATTTTACTGACTTACATTGTCTCTTTTGTTTGTTTTGCGACAGGGTCTTGCTGTGCATTGAGGCTGGCCTTGAACTTGTGGTCATCCCACGCAGTTTTTTGTTTTGTTTTTTTTTTGGCGGGGGTACTGGGGATCGAACTCTGGTTCTTGTGCTTGTGAGGCAGGTGGCAGAACCACTAAGCTAGTCCTGCCCTTATCTTTAGTATACACAGTGTCTTTGAAAAATACGGTGACTATTTAACAAATTTTACAAAATATTCCAGTGAAAGACGGCCATGAACCCCCTCAGCATCTCCCTCACTTCAAACTCTCCCGCAGCAGCACGTAATGATCCCACCAATCATGGGGAGTTGCGGTGTGTACAGAATGCATCCTTTTACATCTCCTTCCTCAGTTCTCTCCTTTTTGTCTTGTTCCTTAAAACTCCCCTTTCTTCCCCGCTTTGCTGTTAAGCGAAACCTTAATAAACTGCTCTTCAGTTACCCACGTTTAATATCCTGCTGTGCTGGGGCCAGGGATTTGGCTCAGTGGTTCTGCCACCTGCCTTGTAAGTGCAAGGGCCCGAGTTTGATCCCTGGCACAAAAAAAAAAAAAAAAAAAAAAAATGAGAGAGAAAATCCTGCCGTGCTTGTCTGCCCAGTCCTTAGACACCACTGGCCCCATCTCCTGTTTCCCAAGGGATGCCTGTGTTGGAGCTTCAGCCTTGCCGGCAGGCCTGAGCTATTACCAGGGACCTTGTGCCCAGTGAGCCATTCTGCTGAGATGACCCTGCCCCAGGGTACACAGCAGGCTCTCATGCAGCATTCCAGGCTCCGGCCTGGGCCCCTCAGCGTGCAGTCCTGGGGGAAACGGGGATACTTAAGATTTTTAAGCCCATGTGGCTCTCTGTTACTTACACCTCTGTCCCTGCTCTTCCTGCCCTAAATGCTTTCTTCCTCATAATTAGACTCAGCTGTCTCAACCCACTTCCGCCTGGGTGGGGAGTGATACCGTGCTCCATGAAATCCGTGTGCTATCTTGAAATTACATTCAAGTGCTCCCATATGTGTGCATTTATCTGGAGAAAGGGCTTTTCTGGTAACCAGACTCTCAAGAGGAGTCTTAGCCCAGCCAAAGCTAAATGATTTGGTGGCCTATTGATGGGACATAAATGGAATCATGTTGTGTTTCGTTATCAAAAGTTTTTTGTTTTGTTTGCAGTGCTGGGAATCAAACCCAGGGCCGTGTAACATAGACCAAAATTCTGCCACTGAACCACATCCCCACCCTCAGCAAAGTTTTGTTCTTGTGTGTATGTGACTGGGGAGTGAACACAAGGCCACTGCACTAAGCCATATCTCCATCCCTTTTTACTTTTTTTTATGGTAGCAGGGATCGAACTCAGGTCCTTGAACTTGCGAGGCAGGAGGTGGAACCACTAAGCTAAATCCCTGGCCCCCTTTTTACTTTTGATTCTTAGTTCTTCAGGGTGGGCTGAATCTTGTGATCCTCCCACCTTGGTCTCTTTATAGTACTGGGATTAGAGGAGTGTGCCACCTTGCCCTGCTCCCAGAAAAGTTTTTCTCTCCTTAAAATCTAGTCCTGACCAGCTATGTTGTACATATCTGTGATTACAGCTACTTAGGAGGCTGAGACAAAGGGATCGAGACCAGCCTGGGCTATGCAGTGAGTCCAGGATCAGCCTGAACTACATAGTGAGACCCTGTCTCAAAACAAGAGATAGGTGTTGAGGACGCAGCTCAGTGAGAAGGCCTGGAAAAGAACAACACCATGCATCCTTGGTGTTAAGTATCGTGGATAATAGAACTTTCAATAGATAAGTTATATGTAAAGCTTAAAGTTTCAAAATTAGGTAAAATAGTCTCGTGGGTTTTTTTTTTTGTTTGTTTTTTTTTTGTACTGGGAATCGAACTTAGGACCTGTGCTTGCAAGGCAGGCGGTGGAACCACTGAGCTAAATCGCCGGCCCCTCATCTATTTTTTAGGTTCCTAAATATAGCTCTGTGGGATTTTGGAATTTATTGTCCTCAAGAGAAAGTAGCATAATATTTTCTCCTTGGTATCTTTAGTTACAGGAAGATTTTTCTGTTCCATTTTCACTTAACTGTTGAACATCTAGTAGTTAGATGCTTTGATGTAACAGTCTCTTTTTAACTGTACCATAAATCACACTTTTCATCGATACTTTTTTCTGTTACAGATTCCTATAGGCAATGGAAACTGATCTCAATTCCCAGGACAGAAAGGACCTGGACAAGTTCATTAAATTTTTTGCCCTCAAGGTAATACGTCCATCCTCCTGGGCCAAGAGTGGTTCAAAGTAATGCCTGTGCTTCTCCCTAAAAATGGAATAGAACAGATTGCAGCTCGCCCATTTTAAGGGCTACTTCTGTTTGTTGTAAACCAGACTGTGGAGGATGAGGACGTGACTACAAAGTAGCTTCCAGTTTTCCACAGCTACTTGTTCACAATTTTTTGTGGAAGGCTCTTTGTAGAAATGTCAGATTGTTCTACCAGGTCATGGGCACAGTGTGTTCCCTCAGGGTGGGAACAAAGACAGGGACCAAAATGCAGCCCTCGGGGCATCTTTCCTTAGGCTGCAACCGACCTGCAGTGTCTGCCTTTCGCCTATTGCTCCTTTCTTGTTCGGTGGAGAAGTAAAGGAGGGTTTTAGCTGATTTTTTTTTTTTTTTTTTGGTCTCTTTCTGTTAAATTTTACCCTTTCCTGAGGTAAAGTTATGATTGACATCTTTTTAACCCTACCGTGGTAGGTTTTTAACCTTTGTAAGGAAGCACATCCTTTTGGGGAGCTGCTAGGCCTCAAACCCAGAACTCCACACACCCAAGGCAAGCCCTCTCTACCACTCCGCTACATTCCCTGGACCCTTTTCATTGTTTTCTTTTGGGTGGTTGTTTTTCAGACCGTCCAAGTGATTGTCCAGGCTCGACTTGGTGAAAAGATTTGCACTCGCTCATCTTCGTCCCCAACTGGTTCAGACTGGGTAAAATTCCTACTGTCTGCTAAGGGAGGGGTATATATATATTCTGTGGTGTTTGTCACAAAACATGAGTGTCAAGTTCTCAAGTTCAGTAATTAGTACACGATTTACAGCAGTACTAAGTTGTGATGTGAAAATATCTAACTCTGTTTGATCCCTTGACTTAGAAAGTTTTTTCCTTATAGAGATTAGTCTCAAATGTATCTGGCCGGGTTTTGGCTTTCTGTTGAGATAGATGGGAAGCTTCGTCCGTAGACAAACATCCTGCCTGGTTAGCTGGTTGTTATCCTGAGTCCTTAACCCTTTCAACTTGAGATCTGGGGCCTTAAACAGTACGTCCCTTGCCCAACAGACTCCTTTATGGCCCCCTGACATTCCTTGAGGGGGTCTCGTGCCAAGGTCCCTTTTGTTTTCTAGTTCAACTTAGCGATCAAAGACATCCCAGAGGTCACCCATGAAGCAAAGAAGGCACTGGCGGGGCAGCTGCCCGCTGTCGGGCGGTCCATGTGTGTGGAGATCTCGCTGAAGACCTCGGAGGTAAGGGGCAGCCTCCAGGATGTCCACCCTCTGCTTCCAGCTCAGTTCTCAGCCTTGGTTGGTCCTGTGCTTCCTTTCTGAACTTCTTCTCGTTTTCCGGAAGAGTCCTGGTTTGTCTGGTTTGTCTGTTTTTTTGTGCTGGGGATTGAACCCAGGGCCTCATGCGTGCTAGGAAATAGCTTTAGTCCGCACTCATGGTTTTTGTACATATTCCAGGAATGTGGAATAGGGCTCTTTGCTCTCTTCTGCATATGACAGTTTTCTGTTCATTCTTTGACCCACATGCTCTAGAAAATCTCCCCTTTTGCGGAGGAGAGATAAATAACTGCCTTTTTTTTTTTTTTTTGGTTGGTACCAGGATTGAACTCGGGCCCTTGCACTTGCGAGGCAGGCAGTAGAACCACTGTGCCAAATCCCCGGCCCACTAACTGCTTTCTTTTGACCTCCTATGGCACCTTATTTATATTTGTTTCCAGAAAATAACTTACATTATATGTTTTGCAGTGCTCGGATTTGGACCGAGTGCCTTCACAATGAGCTATATTCCCCCCGCCTGCTTTGAGACAGAGCCTCCCTCCAGGCTGTCCTTTAACTCACTATGTAGCCCAGGCTGGCCTTGAACTGGTGATCCTCCTGCTTCAGCCTCCCAAGTGCTAGGATGATAGGGGTGAGCCACAACACCTTGCCTCTCCCATTCTTTTTTTTTTTTTTTAATGTTCTGTTTTGCTAAATTGCCCTCAGCCTCCCAGAGTTCTGGGATTACAGGTGTGTACCACCACACTCAACTTTACTGTAAGTTTTCACAAATACATTTGTTCAGCTGGGCGTGGCGACACACACCTGTAATCCCAGCACTTGGGAGGCTGAGGCAGGGGGATCTCTGTGAGTTAGAGACCAGCCTGGGCTATATAGTGAGTTCTAGGTCAGTCTCAACTACATAGAGAGACCCTGTCTCCAAAAAATTAAAAAAAAAATTTTTTTTTTGTTCACCCTGATCCACTGTGAGCCAAGCATTATTACTTCCTTGTCTATCTCTTTCCTCTTAACATTGTAAGGCTGTGTAGCATAGTAAGAGACAAGCTGCTTCTGTAATTTTCCCTGCTGAAGCAGCAAAAGAGTAGGACTGCTTGAAAACAAGAGTTCAAGACCAGCTTGGACAGCATATTGAGACCCTGTCTCAAAATAGAAGGAAGGTCTGGAGCTGTAGCCCATGGCATATGTGAGGCCCTGGTTGTAGTCCCCACCACCACAGAAAATAAGACAAGAGTGATAAGGGTCTGTACTAAGACAGACACATAAATTTGATCTGCTCCAATAAAAGTCAGTTCTCAATTTCGTGGATTAACCCACACTCCCTTACTCAGACAATAGTGCTCTTCCATTTGATTAATCAAAAGGCCCCTTGTGTCCAAAGGCGTGGGACTCTTTCTCTAAAGTCATAGGCAGGAATGTTACAAGGTTGAAGAATTCTGGCTCTTGTCCTTTTCTTTCCTACCTACTAGGAGACGTCTGTTGAGAGCCATACCCAGAGAGGGATCAGTTTGGTTAGAGATATCAGACAGCTAAGAAATACTTAAGGAAGGAGCTTATTAAGGTAGCAAGCTTTCCTAAACTGTGGATATCACCTAAAAATGTTCCCTATGGAATTGGAAGGGGGAAAAAGTACCGTGGATGTATGTGTGGGTGGGAGAGGAGGAACTAGTGATTGAACCCAGGGGTGCTCTATCAGGAGCTGAACCCTCAAAATTCCTTTTTTCAAATTTTGAGATAAAGTCTTTTGGTACCCAGGATCAAACTCGGCACCATGTGCTTGCGAGGCAGGGAGATAAAGTCTTTCTAAGTTACCAGGGCTGGCCTTAGGCTCCCCAGTAGGTGGGGTTATAGGTGTGGGCTGCTCTGCCTGTCTTGGAATGCGTTGGTGGGTGCGTGTGTGTGTGTGTGTGTGTGTGTGTGTGTGTGTGTGTTCATTGGGTATGAATCCTGGACCTTTACACTGAGATATTTCCCCAGACCCTTTTTTATATTTTTATTTTGAGAAGAAAATCTCACTAAATCGCCATGTTACCAAGGCTAGGCTCAAACTTGTGATCCTTTTTCCTCAGCTTCCAGTGTGCTAGGATTACAGGTGTGCACCACCAGATTTGGCTGGAACTTTCATTTTGCTTTAAGGGAAATTCTGTGATGCATTTATTTATTTTCTATGGTGTACTTCTTAAGAAGAAAGAAATTAACTGTACTGTGTACCTAAAATGTACCAATAAATTCAATGAGGAAAAAAAAAAGAAGAAAGAAGTGGTAAAAATGGTATAAACAGTGAAATCCCACTTTTTAAAAAGCTGGTTAAACTGATATTTGCTTTTATTTCCTTTTTACTTAGATATGCCTTCCAGTATTTGTGTAATGACTACATAGTGCTTTACAATATATAAAGAGGGTAGTTTTTAAAAACTAGAATGTTTTTCAATTGTCCTATCTACAGGGAGATTCCATGGAGCTGGAGATTTGGTGTCTTGAAATGAATGAAAAGTAAGTGCTTCTGTCTCGGCTCTGGGAGTGTGGCAGCTGAGAACACAGTGGGTGCCATCCTGTGGGCGCGGGGCTTGGTTTCCCGGGCAGGGAGGGCGTCCTGGCTTCTTGGCAGAGCAAGAGGTCTTTGCTTCCAGCCTGGGCATGGCTGTGACCTCCAGGGGAGGTCAGTCCCTGGGGAGAGCAGCCAGGAGAGCTGACAAGGAGTCATTTGTCCAGGGAACCGCTCTTCTCTGACTCAGCCCTCAGGAGCTGAGTAACATGACTGCCTGTGTTCTGTCTGTTCTGTGTGGCACTGGTCCAGTAAGATTTCCCCGTGTCAGCCATGGGTCGGAGGTTCCTGTCATCTCCCTGCCCCACTTTCCTCCCCTAAGGCAGATCACTTTACCCCCTGCCCACAGCATCGGGTTTCAAGTAGAATACATAGAAGATGGAGGAAAATATCAGCTCACAAAGCAAACCCTTCATACTGATAAGTACATGTGGTGTAAGCGCTATTGTTTTGGTACTGGGGATCGGACCTTGCACTTGTGAGGCAGACAGCGGCACCACTGAGCTAAATCCCCAGCTCCAAGCACTGTTTTTTTGTTTGTTTGTTTGTTTTTTCCTTAGAAATTGCCTGGTTATGGTAGAGAATTTCGGTGCCAGACAGACTTTTCTCCCGATTTCCCCTGGAGTGAGACAATTCATGTGCTTACACATTGAAATCATGTCTACACCTTTAATATAAATAATTGTAGTTTGTATTTATTGGTTTTAAGTGTGTTGCTTTATTGCTTAGAGTGGTAACCACTTGGAAGGAAAGTATATCAAAACGTATTGGTTGAGCCGGGCGTGGTGGTGCTCACCTGCCGTCCCAGCACTGGGGAGGCTGAGGCTGGAGGATTGCTGTGAGTTAGGTAAGACCAGCCTGGGCTACATAGTGAGCTCTAGGTCAGCCTCAACTACAAAGTGAGACCCTGTCTCCCCAAAAAAAAAAAAAAAAAACCATATTGGGTGGATTTTCCTGCTTAGCCGCTCACCCACTCTGACCAGGGCACAAATAAGCAAAACTGTGGCTTCCTTCCTTCAGCAATCTGTAGACAACTGCCATTGTTCCTTCAGTTGAAAACATTTTAGTCATAAACACAACACGCACAGTTGCAGGAATTCCTAGGAGATGTTAACAGGGTCTGTGCACCCCTCAGGTGTGATAAAGAAATCAAAGTTTCCTACACCGTGTACAACAGACTGTCCCTGCTGCTCAAGTCTCTTCTTGCTATCACGCGGGTGACACCAGCCTATAGGCTGTCCAGAAAGCAGGGGCACGAATACGTCATACTGTACAGGTAAGCAGCGTGGGTGTTCATCCCTGTGGCTGGAGGGAGGGAGGAAGGAGGGGAATCCTCGCCGGTGAGGGCTGTGCTAGCGACAGTGGGTGTGAAAGTGGGGACCGCACAGGAGCTGGGTTCAGACTGACACACGGCCCAGGGGAGGAACAGAGGGTGTGGGACAGTGCGGGAGCAGACAGGGACAGCCACGGCTCCTGAGCCATCTCACTGGCAAGCTGCGTCTCCCCGCGCTCTTACCAACGACCTGACAGCCTCAACTCTGCTTGTTTTTTCAAGACTAATAAATGTTTGTTGTTAACTCTCCTGCATTTTTGGAGTAATCACTGTTGCTCCCTGAATGTTTACCATGTAGAAGTGATTTTGGATACAAATACTTGCATCTTGAACTATAAAGAAGTGGGTGATCTCTTTTTATAACTTTTTTGTAGTGTGGGGGATTGAACCCAGGACCTTAAACAACAGCCCAGCCCCCTTTTTTTTTAATCTTTGATTTTGTAACAGAGTCTCACTAAGTTGCCCAGGTTGGGCTCAAACTTGGGATCCTCCTGCCTTGGCTTCCCAGAGTACTGGGATTATAGGTGTGACCATCCATACCTGGCTCCATATTCTATCTCATTTTTATTTTTTCAGGGTACCCTTACCTAGTTAATTATTCCATGGTGGAAATGACTTTTAAGGCTGTCCTTGAAATCAAGGGAGTCTTCCTGCCCCAGCCTCTTGAGAGCTGGGATTACAGGCACGCACTATGACACCTGGCTTAAGACTTTCTACTTTCTTAACCCACTTACTTGGGAATGGCTTCTTAAAAGAAAGCAGAGCTCCTCGTAACTAAAGACCACTTATCACAATTCTAACCTTCCAGTAGCAGTTACAGGTCTGTTTGTCAAATTTATTTTCATATTTTTATTTTCCAGTTTGTATACTTGTAAATCACATCATAGGAGTGGGTAACATTTCTTGTTCTTCCTTCTCTACAGGATATACTTTGGGGAAGTTCAGCTCAATGGCTTAGGAGAAGGTATGGGTCAGATCAAGGTGGGAAAACATGGTAATGTTAAGAGCATGGCTACCTGCAGAGAGTGGCTTGTGTGACCTGTAGTAATCTGTGGCTCAGTGTGGGGGATGAGTAAGGCAGAGACAGGTTGACATGTAAGTGGTCCAGCGAGATTTTCCCTGGAAGTCCCATGAACTTCTAGTTCTTTTTTATTCCTTTGAACATAGTTTTACCTAGAAATGAGTGCTGTTTCTTCTCCTCACATCCGGTCAGTACTGAATAAATTGAGAAGGGAGAACACAGGAGCACGTACACTCACATACACTGCATACACACATTTAAGGCCGCTGACCCCACGGGGCTAAATGAAAAATGCCAGAGTGTACAGCAGGCCGAATGGTTCTGGACAACAGACGGGCAGGGTCAGCATTCTCTGGGTAAAGAGCTAATCCTGTCTCTCTCCTAGGCTTCCAGACAGTTCGCGTTGGGACGGTGGGCACCCCTGTGGGCACCATCACTCTTTCTTGTGCTTACAGAATCAACTTGGCATTCATGTCCACCAGGTGAGGAGAATAGAACGCAGGAGAATGCTCGCAAGGGTGCCGACGCTTCCGCCTTCCCCATACCCCTGACAGCATCTGCAGCACAGCCTTGCTAGTGCTGAAAGCAGCCCTCCAGATGAATGAACTCGAGAGAGGGCACTGTTGAAAGATTGGAGAATTTGAGAGTGCCAGAGCCCACATATCTAGAATGTAGAGCTGGTGGCTTACACTGAGAGATTGCAGTAGTTAAGACTAATAGATACAGAGTGAGGTGGAGGGCTGGAGATTTAGCCCAGTGGCGTGGTATCTGCCTGGCAAGCACAAGGTCCTTAGTTCGATCCCCAGTACCAAAAAAAAAGATAAAGCTAGGGGCCTCCCGAGGTCTTCGGGGCTGGGAAGTGGGCCCACCCCTGTGGCCTGGCTGGTGGTTGTAGCCCTTGGCCTCTCTCTTGGCCTGTTTTGCTCACTCCTTGCGTCTTTCCCACATTCCTGGCTTCTCCAGCTTCTTTGGTCTCCACTGTACCTTTAGCTTCACTCTCGTTACTTTTCACACTGACTTTTCTGGGTGGAAGCTTTCAATAGCCCACAAGTCTTGCATACTGCACTCCTGTAAAACCAGCACTAAAGTAGATGATGCCAGGGTCTGCTGTCAGCTCAGGCAGTAGCCGGGCCATGAGGTCCCAGCTCCAGAGGCCTCTCGAGTGCCTGAATAGCTGAGCACTGGGAGCCACATTTGCACTTCGTGAACTCAATGTCCTGGTGCTGTCTTCTTAGAGCAAAATACTTCACTGTTGTAATTTTGACCCTACAAAGGGTAGGGCCTTGCGGATTCCTGACATGCCTGTGAGCCATTTTTCCTGCTGTCCTGATGTAAAGTACTTGACTTCCTTCTGTTTTGTTGATTCTTAGAGAGAGTCTCACTTTGTGAGGCTGGCTTCAAACTCATGGCCACCTTCCTGTCTCAGCCTGCCAAGTGCTGGGGTTACAATGTGTGTGCCACCCTGCCCGCACACTTCTTTATAAACTGCATTGTGCTTGTTGCCTAGGCAATTCGAGAGGACCCCTCCTATCATGGGGATCATCATTGATCACTTTGTGGACCGCCCCTACCCCAGCTCCTCTCCCAGACACCCCTGCATTTACAGGTGAGGAGTGTGAATGGAGCCTCCCAATCCATAGTGAAACCAGAGCACCCATTTCCCCCTGGACAAAAATGGGGGGCTGTTTCCCGTTCCCTCTGCTTCCAGTTAGGTGTACTACTACCTGAGACATCCATAATGTCTCAGAAAACATTGGGCATTTGCATCTTGATGGTAATGGTGTTCTGTGTAGCAAGTTACTGGGGCCCCCAAGAGTGCCAGTAATTCATGGGATATCTTGGGTCAATTATTAAGTGACTTGTAGGTTGCCATCTGGCTTTATAAACTCAGCGTGAAACAGTTCCTGACACAACCCCCACCCTTCGCACATCCCATGGTCCACTGTTGAACGGACGGCCACCCCAGCAGGCTCCCCATTTCTGTTCCCCTCCTTTAGAACCGCCGGTGAGGATGCGGGTGGAGCGTACCCGTCGGTGGAAGACTCTCAGGAAGTGTGCACCACGTCGTTCTCCACCTCCCCGCCGTCACAGGTAGGCATATGTGTTCTGGATGGTGGTGGCTACTGCAGGTGCGTGAAATGGAGCCCACGGTGAGCTGTACCTCGGCCCCTTGGTTGTGGCGAGGATTCGTCCCGGGCTGTTGTGATGAATGACAGACCCAACGCGGCACATAATACGCAGCGATTCCGGTTTGTAACCATTCTTAGCCCCCGAATTCCACTTAGCCTTTACCCCTTGCTCATTCCCTCCGACTGCCTTGAAAATCAGTCACAGAATTTTAAATGCATTCACACACCAGGGAGTCTATAATCCACACCTGCTAATTTAGTGGGCTTCTCTTCTTAAGTGGCAAATTTGGTTTCTAATCAGGGAAGGAGCCTAGAAATAGCCAGTACTTATTTAGTTAAAAGTTCCTGTAAGAAGCTGGGTACGGCAGCACATGCCTGTAATCCCACCCAGCACTCTAGGAGGCTGAAGCAGGAGGATCACAAGTTCCTGCCCTGCCTGAGCAATATAGCAACTTGGCACAACTCTTGTTTTAAAATAAAAGTAAATAAAAAGCTGAGGATTTAGCCATGGGTTTGATCCCCAATGCCAAAAAATAAAAAGCCAGTGAGAAACCAATACGTAGCTTTTGTGATGACACAGGCATTTGCCTGTCTGTTTCCTCTGTCCCCGAGTCTTTCTAGCCTGACGTCCTAACCAGTATCCTTGCCATTAATCAGTCCCCACTGCCAAGGCCAGTTTCAATGAAACACGTGCCTGAAGTGCAGCCATCTTCCCCACAACAAGCCTCTCGTGGTCCTGTCGTGGCCAGGCCACCTCTGCTAGGTACCCCTTTCGTGCTGCTGGCTGAGTTTCAGGGCGTCAGCCTGCTCCCACCCCACCTTCGTCTTCCACCCTTGCCTCCAGCCCCCTCTGCACCCTGCCCAGCCCCACCATCTGCACCCCCGACTTTGACTCTGAGATCTGCCGGTTTCTTCTGGCCCTTCCCCTGTTCTGCTTCTTAAACCACCCCCCAGGCTTTCCTTCCGCCTTCTTAGTGGGTATGACTAATTAATTACCTCTCTGTCTTTATTTAGTTGTCATTTTGGGTATTGTTTTCTTTCCCCCCCGTACTGAAGATTGAACTCAGGACCTTGCACCTGCAGCACTGTGCCACTGAGATAAATCCCCAGCCTGGTCATTTAGTTGTAATTTTTAATTTAAAAATTTTCATTTGTAGAAATTTATAAACTTTTCCATCCTGGGTTATTTTGGAAGTACCAGATTGAAATCATGATTCTGTGCTGTTTCAAAAGCAACAGCTGGTACACTCCCATCACCCCACCTGCGTGGAGACCGAGGCAGGAGGACTGCAGGTTTGAGGCGAGCCTAGTCTCTTAGAAAGACCTTACTTAACAAAAGGGCTGGCAGCAAAGCGTGGTGGCACATACACCTGTTAATCCCAGTGCTGGGGAGGCTGAGGCAGGAGCATCAGAGGTCTAAGCTGCATAATGAGACCTTGTCTCAAAAAAAAAAAGGAAGAAACAAAACCAGAAAGAAACACTAGAGCATGCTAAGATTTCGCCTATAGCCACCACATCTCAAGAACCCCGAGTCTGACCAAAGCTGGAGTATTTTGGTTTGGAAATACTCCTTTCAGACTTTCCTGGTAGAGCGAACAGAGAGGTGAAATCATGTACTGTTGGTTCTCCTCCTTTCTGTTAACACTCAGTAGTTTATCAATCAGCACTATCCAGGGGCACGCATAATTACTCAGCCACTTTAACTGGAGCTTTTGCTGGGTTCCAGGAATAAATACACATCAGTGTGTTGCTTGTTCTGCTGGCAGCATAAGGATCCTTGTGTCATTTGGGCACAAAGTTGAGGCATGAACTAGTTGTGAGCCTAAACCTGCTACTGGGTCCCAGAGTCTTTGTCCAGTTCTAAGCATTGATTTGCTAAATTTAAAGAGTTAAAGATGGAACAGCAGGACCCCTTGTAATCCTCTTTCCCATAAGTAGCTTTGAAATCGTAAGGTTTTTGGTCTGGGGGTGATGGTGCACAGCTGTAATTGCAGCACTTGGGAGGCTGAGGCAGGAGGATTGCGAGTTTGAGACCAGCCTGGGCTACCTAATGAAATGCTGTCTCAAAAAGACAAAAATAGTTTTGAAAGGGTCCCAGCTTTTCCTCTGTTGCATTGTCCCACACTGTTGAGGACTATTAACACACACACACACGACCCTGCACACCCACTCACCTTCACCGTCCCTGGACAGCGCAGGCCTTGAGAAGCTGTGTGAGTCGTCCGCACAGACCAGCAGCCTTCCTCCTGCTGCTCCCACTCTGCCGCCCGTGGACACGCACTAACTGACGCTGGATCCAGCTTCTTTGCGTTGCCACGTCGACCCTCCCAGCTGCTCCTGGGGAACAGGCATCCCGGGGCACTCCCACGGCACACGTCACTTCCGGGCCGCTGCGCCGTCCCTCCGGCCTCACTGCTGCCCCCAGACGTTATTCCATGGCTTTCTCAAGGCCCTTTTCTCTTCTCTCTCTTGTCTCTCCTGTCTCTGTGTGTGTCTGTGCACAGTGTGTGTTTACTGTCACAAAGGCACATTTTCAGACCCCTCCTCCTGTGGTGACGGACACTCTGAGGGTCCCCATGGCAGGACTGGCCTTTTCCCATCAAGTGAGTTCATCATGGGCCGAAGGGGACTTGATGAGACAGCTTCTTTCTGTTTCAGCCGTGGGAGCGGAGCCCAGGGTATCGTTATTTACACAGCCCCAAGTGTTCTGCGGGATCTCTCCAAGGTTTCGTGATTGAATCTTAGGACACAGCCACGGCCCAGGAGCCCAAAAGAGAGATTTGCATTTGCTCCTTCTGTTATGTGGAAAATACAGCGAGTTATTTATATCAGATTTCCAAACAAACAATCCAAGACTGGCCTTTCTCTTTTCTATATAAATAGGAACCCACCCCTGCCCAGGGGTGATGAAGGGTGCGATTAGAAAGCCTGTTCCAAAGGGACCTCAAGGACAGAGGAGAAAATAGAATGGCTTTGGAAAAGCTGATGGCTTGGGCTCCAAGTTGTGCCCCGGGGTTGTGGCCCGCAGGTCTGCTGGGCTCAGAGTGGAAGCCTTAACTGCACCCCGGAAGGGCCAGCCAGGAGTTCATCTGAGGCCTCCGGAGGCTCAGAGCCAGGGCTCCCGAGCCCCGAGCGAACAGTCTGCTCATTTGCATCTACAAGGCTCCTCCTCGCTGTGGGCCAGGGCGGGATCCCTTCCTTCCCTCTCCTGAGATACTGCCCCCCTCTCCGAGGGCCTGTTTTTTTCTGTCTCTCCTCTGCCCCTGTTTTTCTCTCACTCAGCTCTCCAGCTCTCGCCTTTCCTATCAGCCGGCTGTCCTGGGCCTTGGATCAGCTGACCTGGCTTACCCCGTAGTGGTCCCTGCTGGTCTAAACGCTCCACACCCTCACCAGGTATCTCCCACCCTCTTAGGACCCAGATGGAGTGCGAGTGTCCGACCGAGAGAGAGGAAGGACGACCTCCAGGGTTTCTCTCCCTTCCCTGTCCCTGTCCCTCTCCCTCTAGTCGGCACTGTGCGTGTCTGTCAGCACCGAGTCCCAGAGAGGATAAGGATGTGGGGTTGCCTGCCCAGCTGTAGCATTGGTCCTGGGAAGGCCGGAAGCAGGTGCCACCAAGCCAGGCCCCTGAGGGTCCCCTGCCTCCCGACGCCGCAGTGGCTCACAGATCTCCATTTCCCCCACAGCTCATGGTTCCTGGGAAGGAAGGGGGAGTGCCCGTGGCTCCCGTCCAGCCTGCCCACGGCGCCCAGGCTGACCAGGAGAGATTGGCGACCCACACCCCTTCGGACGGGCCCCACTGTGCTGCCACACCTTCCAGCAGGTGAGTTCCTGTGTGGCTCGGCCAGGGGGCAGGCAGCCGGGCCCAGCTGGACGTCTGTGTCCCAGGTGGGAACTTCTATGGGGCTTGGGGACTCGGCTGTCCTCTGCTGTGGAAGCTCCCTGCCTCCCGGAAGCAGCAGGCCTTGGTTCCTGTCACTTGACCCAGTGAAGATTAGGGTCTGGTGTTTTTCTCTTACCCCAGACTCCTGTCATCAGCCATGCATTGCCTGAGGACCCAAACAGGTGTTTATCACACCCTGAAGCCTGGTGCCAAGGTGCACCTGGGTGTGATTGCTTTTCTGCTGAATTAGAACCTTGCAGACATTCTTTGTAAATGCCCACTTTTTTCTCTTTAAAAAAAATTCAGACATGGTGGTAACGTGATACATTCTGTGCAGTGACTTAGTTCTTAAGTAGGAAGTGACAGTTCTCGCATTTCTACTTTGCAAAAGTCACCGCTGTCACCTGTTCTTTAAGGATGACAGGGCCGAGGTGAGCCGAGTAGGCCATAGGCCCAGTGTGTGTCCGGCCCCGGGATTCACTGCAGAGCAGTGCAGGGAGCAGCAGGCCGCACACAGCCGCGCCCAACCCCGGAGGAGCGCTCCCTGGCCTGGCCTGGCTCTGCTCCTGCACTCAGAGGACCTTGGAGATACAGAGGTCACCTTTCCTGGTGCCTTTTTAGCACCTTCAGCCGTAGCCACCTGCAGCCCGCGGCTCCCGTTCATCTCATCCTAGGCACCATCCCGTCTCCTTTCTGTTCCCACAGTGGACAACGGTAGGAGCATCATTGTTCAGGAAGTCTTTTGTCTTTCTGTAGAAAATTTGTGGCTTATCAGCACCGTCCTTCCTCCCTGGCTTCCAGGGGTGGATCATCAAAGGAAGACTTTGTTAGTCATCTTACAGTCATTTTCTGAGCCTCACCCCTGGATGTGCCTCGGAGTAGCTGCTGGCAGCGAACCCGGTGGGGCCAGAATAGGGTTAGATGCAGGTCCCCAGCACACTGAAGCCTGTCCCCAGGGCGCTCCCCCACTGCTGGTGCAGTCACTTGCGCAGTCCACCGGCCAATCTGAGGTCCTTGGAATCCACCAGACCTCGCAGCTGTGTGCACCTCCGAGACCAGCAGCCACTGTGCAGCCCCAGATCCTGCACCCAAGTCCTGGGATCAGGACCCAGTGTCATGGGGACAGGGAGCAGGAGAGCAGGGCACTGACTGGGGCCAGGGATGTGGGAAGGGAGCACAGGGAACCCGGCCAGGTGCGCTGGCTGGCCAAGGTCTCCACTGCTGGGCCTGCCTGGAAGGTGCCAGTGTCCCTTTCAGGGTCAGGCTCGAGTGAGACACTGCTGTAGGTGGCGAGGATGTGCGGTATTCTTAGTTATTGAGGAAAGAAAGCTAAGATGTGGGGTCTGCTACACAGTCGATGCGTGCTGCAGCTGTGGCGGTTTATGAGGCTGCTCATCTGTGTCTGAGGGTTTTTATCACTGGCATTCAGGTTAAATTTCACACCAGCTCTCACACAGCTGTAACAGGAAGTTTCACTTGCGTGTGTGCTGTCCTCTATTGTCCACTCATGAGGCAGGGGCAGTGGCAGCAGCCATACCACGTAGTCCTCTGTCCCACACCGGCGGCTGGGGCCAGTTCCTGCACAGGCCGCAGCCCCTCAGGAGAGCGGGCTCGGGAACCAAGCTGTTCCATGGTTTGAGATGGGAACCATCTTTACCTTTCTCCTTCAGTGAAGGCACCGAAACTGTCTCCAACAGCAGCGAGGGCCGGGCCTCCCCGCATGATGTCTTGGAGACCATGTTTGTCCGGAAAGTGGGGGCTTTTGTCAACAAGCCCATCAACCAGGTGACTCCTCCGTCCCCGCGAAGGCCCTGGGCCAGGTCCGGTGGCTCTGCCACCAGTGTGTGTTGCATTGTGAGGCTGAGGCCCTGCCTGAAGCCACCGGAAGCCCAGAGCCTGCTTCCCAGGCAGGGTCCTTGGGAGCCAGCCCCACGCACACCGTGGGTGTTTATGGTGGGGACGGCGCGGTCAGCCTGGGCGCAAGTGGGCAGCGGCAGCTGGCAGGCCAGGGGAGGGGCAGGCAGGAACGCTTCTCTCGTGGCTCTGTAGGTGACCCTGACGAGCTTGGACATCCCCTTTGCCATGTTTGCTCCCAAGAACTTGGAGCTGGAGGACACCGACCCTATGGTGAGCACGCCGGTGACTGCCAGCTTCTCACAGATGACACAATTGGCTTCCCCCTCGTGGGCTACGGTCACTAAGGCCTCCCCAGACTGGAAGCCTTTGGGGCCAGCATCAGGCTCCTTCCAGAATCCTCCTATGTGAACAGGGACAGGCACCCAGGTCACGGCTTCCACCATGACTCTGCCTATTTCATTTTATTTTATTGTATTTGTGTGGGATTCGAACGCTGGTGCCGTACCCGTGAGCTACATCCCCAGCCCCGGACTCTGCCTCTTGTGCACAGGTGAACCCCCCGGACTCCCCAGAGGCTGTTTCTCCACTCCACTGCAGCCTGCACTCCGAGGGGTCCAGCGAGGGCAGTGGCAGCCACCCCCACGACGACTTTGTCATGATTGACTTCGTAAGTTGGCTCTGCTGGCCTGGGGATGATAAAACTGGAGCCTTCTGCTGGGCTTGAGCAGCATTGAGTTCCCTCTTGGGATGGGATGTGAAAGGGGCCCTGCCCCCTTCCCTGTCCGGGAGACTTTGGGGTCCTAAGGATGGTGACAGTTTTCATCCATGTCTGGTTAAAATTCAGCTCTAAATGGAGATTTTCCAGTGTTTTTCACTTAGGTCCTGTTCATGCCTTTTGCTTAGGAAAGTTGTTTTTGGTACTGGGGATCAAACTTGGGACTTGTGCTTGCGAGGCAGGCAGCAGAACCACTGAGCTAAATCCCCGGCCCCAGGAAAGGTGTTTTAATAAGGGGACAGAAGTGTGGTGGGGACGGAGTAGCATCCCCAGGCCTAGAGGTCAGCAGTCCAGAAGAGCAGAGCCAAGACAGTCCTTGGAAGAAAACAGACCTGTTTGCAGTTTTAGATTTTCCTTCGTGCTCTGAGGCAAGCTAAACTGGATCTGTCTTGTTTTTGAAGAAACCAGCTTTTTCTAAAGATGACATCCTTCCGATGGACTTGGGGACCTTCTACCGTGAGTTTCAGAACCCCCCTCAGCTGAGCAGCCTCTCCATAGACATTGGAGCGCAGTCCATGGCGGAAGACCTGGTACGGAAACCCCTTCCACACCAGCCCTCCTTCCCCCATCTTCCCGGCCCCATCGATGGTCACTTCTGCGCCACAGGCCAGACGTTGCCCACCCTTACACCGCCTAACATCCCTGTCACGGGAAAGAGACGTCTGAGACGTAGATCAGTCCTGGTCAAGGTTCTCATGGTGCCCGTAGTTCTCTTGAGATTGCTCATGCCCAGTTCTCTTTGCGTGTTCTCCGTGGGACCTGCACACTCCTGTCCCAGCTGCTCCCGTGGCTCTGCAGGCAGGTGCCTGTGGTGCAGGGCAGAGGCACAGTCCGAGGGTCTGTCCCTGACCTTCTCTGGTGGCTCTCGTGCCTGGGAGACGTCCTGCTGCCACCTGTGACTGGCGCATCTCTACTTGGCATTTCCTCTTCCTGCTGGGGAAGGTCTGACGAGTGCATCGGCACCGGGGGTCTTTCCTTCCCTTTCTTCACCTGTGCTGGGGATGGGGCCTGCTGGGCTACCTTGAGCCACACCCCAGAATTTGCCACATGTCTTAAGTGCCTTACCCTGAACCCTCAGTCGTCCTGAAAGGGAGCTTTTCTTTTCCCACCATGCAGACCAGAAAGCCAGTCCGTGCTGGAATAACTTGCCTGTGGTCGCACAGCCGGGCAAACCTGATCCCGAAGGGTTTGGCTCTGAGTGTCACTCTGCCCTGACTGTCCTGCCTGTCACTTGACATGCACACAGGAGGAAATGGGTCCTGTGTGCTTGGGGTCTGCAGCCAGGCCCAGCCAGCGCCCAGACCTACCTCTGCTTGGGCCACTCTGGGATGCGAGGCTGGAGTCTCCATGTCCCTCCCATCGCCTGCTGTCCCCATGGCACTGGCCTCCACCTCGTGTTACTGCTGTTCAGGGCCCAGCCTTGTTTTCTCCCTGGTATGGGAGGACAGCTCAGGTCTCCCAGACCCCCGTCCCTCGTGGCTCTGGTTTGCTGTCACTGCCCCCAGCCTGGTGTGAAGATGCAGGTGCACAGGCCTCCCGGACTGCTCAGGGAGTCTGTGGGTGGTGCTGTGGGGCTGTCCTTGTCCTCTTCCTCTTCCAAGAAGGCGCTTTAGTGCCCAGAAAAGGCCATCATAGAACTTTAATTCAGAGCTATAAACTTGAATTTGTATCTGGTGTCTGATGTGTGCCCCAGATATTTCATGTTTAATTTTTGACATGGTCTGTCTTCCATGACATTGAGTGTGTGACCCACGTGGATTCCCCAGGCTGTGTGCAAGCCCGATGGACATGTCCCTCTTTACCTCGATGCCACGCAGCTGGCCTGCCTCCTCAGTCCCTGTCTCTCCGTGGAGGTCCGGTTGTTGGTCTGAGTAATCAGTTCTCTCCTCCCCAACAGGACTCCTTGCCCGAGAAGCTGGCTGTGCACGAAAAGAATGTTCGAGAATTCGATGCCTTTGTGGAAACCCTGCAGTAAAAGTAGCCTCCAGTACCAGCAGCGCCCCCTTTCTGTGGACCTGGGGGCTGGAGCCACTCCCATCCCTCTCGCTGCTCCTAGCCAGGTGGACGGCAGGCGGATTTTCCGGGGTGACCCAGAAGGCCCGGCCCCGCACTTCCTGGACACCCCGTGACTGTGGCTGGGAAGGCCCCTGCTGGCCTTGGGGGCCTCGGCAGGGCCATCTGTGCTCCCACTGTCACCACCTGCACCACAAAGGGTGTCCTCCACTGCTGCTTCCTGCCTGCCTGTCCTGGCCACCAGTCACTTGACATTCCTGCTGGTGGCCGAGGTGGTGCTGGCTGAAAGAGGAACCGAGCAGTGCTGGGAGGAAGAGGGGTCCTGGGGCTGTCTCCCCAGCTCGCACGCAGGCTTGGCTCCTCTTGCTCTCTGCCCTGTGCCTGGGCTTTTGGCAATATGAGGGGCCTGCCTGCCTATGGTGACAACTCCAGCACCAGTTGTCCCCCTCGACGGCTGTGCCAGGCCTTCCTTGGGGTCTGTGCAGCCCTGGCGGCTGCCTGTGCCCAGCTCCTCAGCTCTGAATCCCATGTCCCTGGGATTCTGTCATCCAGAGTCCTGGTGAAGGTTGTTCCTTCTCCCCTTTGCTGCTCCTTGGTTATAGGAATGGTAAATATTTATTAGTTTCAGAGAAATCAAATATTTTATAGAGAAAACCCACTGGCTGTTTGCTTGGGCAGAGGCCTGCTGCTCAGGAAGGTCCCCAGAAGCCCAGCTGCTGCTCTGAGGGTCTCCCTGCTCCTGTGCACAGGGCAGGAGCCAAGAACAGGGCCGGCCGAGAGCAGAACCCCAGGTCAGGACCGCCACAGCCTCCTCGTGGGTGCTCAGTCTCTCAGCACCTGTGTCAGTCCGGCAGCCCAGGAAGTTGGGTGCTCCTGTGAGGACCCAGAGTTGTGCCACCTACAGGGGGCATTGCATATGCCCGTGGGGCCGGGGTGCCTTCTGGTCCTCCTGCTGCTTGGGCCTGGCCACCCCCTCCTGGAATCCAGGGTGTGGCACTGCCCTGGGCTGGTCCCCCGTTGAGAAACCAAAGCTGGGCCAGCACCTAACAGCGCCCCTTCAGGTACTCTCGCCTGAGTCGCTCAGGTGCCCACCTGCTCATCCGGCCTCCTGCCCAGGTACTCTGCTCTTCAGTGGGGCAGATGGCCCTCGACTGCTTGTCAGTACACTGCATGTGACACCGTTCCCACCCCCAAGGCTGGCTCTGAGGAGAGCCCTGGCTGCGCCTGCTTCTGCTGCCACGGGAAAGTCCCATGGCTGTGGCCAGCTGGCCCTCCTGCCTCAGCCAGGTGTGTCCGCGCTTACAGTACCAGTCAGATGCCCCAGCTCCAGCCTGGGCAGGGGAGCCTAGCCAGCCACCACCCTGTGCCCAAGGCTTGCATGAAAAGGCTGGTCCCCACCATCCACGACAGTCCTCTGCCGCCCTGATTATGGCCCTTACCAGCCCCAGCCTTTCTCCAGGTCCCTGTCCATGCAGAGGCAGGGAAGTCGAGCCCTGACCTCGAGCTGGGCCCGGAGGAGCACAGTGAGGTGAAGACTGGCCCCAGCCCTCAGCCCCACACGACGGAGCCCTAGACCGACTCCCGCAGCGCCTGCCCAGGTCAGCACCAGCCTGCCTCCGGGTGGCACAGTTCCTCTTCCTCCAGCCTCCTTGGGAAGTAACTGAGCTGTACTTCAAAATGTATTCAGAGATTTCCAATAAAGGTTTTTCTGTACTTGAACGTTTCCAGTCCCATAAGTTGGACACCTAGCCCAAGCCCGGGTCACCAGTGGGTCCCATGGAAAGGGCCGGCTGGGGCTTGGGAGTCCGGCAGCTTGGTTCATCAGAAAGCTTCCTGGAGCCTGGTTTTCCTTGTATGTTCTCAGCACAGGGTTGTGTGCCTGAGTATTTAGTGAGACAGTATATGAAGTATACTCTGTTTTGTTTTGCACTAGGGATTGAACCCACGCCTTCACACTGAGCTAATCCCTGGAACTTTTTGGTTTTTGTTGATAATTTTATTTTTCTTTTGTCTTGAGGTGGGTTATCATTAACTTGTTAGGTATCCCAGGCTGGGCTCTAACTTGAGTTCTTCCTGCCTCAGCCTCCCAGAGTGCTGGGACTACAGGTGCACACAACCGTGTCTGTCCTCAGTTCTTTCTCCTGACAGCTCACTGCTGGCCTGAGGAGATGGTGCTCCGCCACAGTCCCAGAAGCGGTGGCAGGGAGTGGCTGCTGATGCAGTTGACTGCTGATGGGTGAACTAAGGGGAGGAGTGAGTGCATTTGCTGCCCTGGTCTGACCAACTCGAGAGAGGAGCCAGGAAGAGCTCAGCTGGGGTTGGTCTGTCTGGCTGCAGGATCTGGATGGACCCTGGCAAAGCTGGCTGTGTGTGTAGACCACAGGCAGAGATGGTTCTGAGTAAAAGGGAAGCAGCCAATCAGAACTGGACATGGCTGCCGGGGTTTTGCCTCCCTCATCCCCAATCAGGTTCCAGGACAAAGAAAAAAAAAATAGGGTCTAAATGCAGCAGAGAATGGGTCAGCCCGCTCAGCTGGCAAGGGCCAGGAGGTGCACTAAATGTTACAAGTGGCCTGTGACAGCACACCTTACAGCCAGCTGGCTGCTGGTGAGAGACATGGCAGGACTGCCTGGTAACTCCCTCCCATGGGGATCCCCAAACTAAGTGCTCGGCTGCCCTGTGCCCCACCCCCCAGATCCACTGTCACTATGGCCTCGGTAACTGGCACCAAACAGTCCCTGGAGGCCCCGCCAGAGCCCAACCAAGTAAACAGCTCCACGGCCCTGCTCCCCTGGGCCAACACCTCCACACTTGTCACCCAGCTCAGAGCTGCCAGTGCCTCCTGCCTCGAGGTCCTGGAGAGGCCATGGTTGTGCAGTGGGGCAGCTCTCCTGGAGCTCAGGGCCATATTCACCCTGCTGACACTGCCTGATCCTGCAGTTCCAGCCAGGCTGCCCCAGCAGCTCCAGGAAAAAGCAGGCCCAGCCAAGCCACCGTAGCCTCCTAGCTGCACAGCACACACCTGGAGCTCAACCTTGAGCTTCTTCACTTGTGCTGAAACCTGTGTGTTTCCTCCTGCCCACCCCCCAGGAATGAACCATTGAAAGAAACTTCTAAAATACAAATAAATTTAGATTTTTTTTTCCTTTTTTTATGGTGCTGGGGATGCACCTCAGAATTTTTAGGCAAGGACTGTACCGCTAAGCCACACGCTGACGTTTGCCATCATTTTTGTTTTGTTTTTTGAGACAGCCTCACCATGTAGCCCAGGTTGGCCTCAAACTCAGGCTCCTCGTGCTTTAGCCCCCAAGTACTAGCATTATAGGCACGTACCACCACACCTGGCTTATTTTACCACCTTAGCCTTTTTGTTTGTTTTTTGTTTTTTCAAACTCAGGACCTTACAGGAGCAGTGCCAGTGAGCTAAATCCTGACCCAGTTCTGTGTTTCTGTTCCCACCAGTGTTTGTTTGTTTTTGAGACAGGGTCTCACTATATAGCTGAGACTGACCTGGAACTCACTCTGTAGCCCAGGCTGGTCTTGAACTCACAGCGATCCTCCTGCCTCAGCCTCCCGAGTGCTGGGATTACAGGTGTGCACCACCATACCCGGCGATTACCACCTTAGCCTTTAAAGCACAATCTGCTCAGTAGAGGAAAGGAAAGCCAGATCTTTCTTAGCCTCCGTGTAAGTGGCAGGTGGAAGTAGCCTTGCCCTGAGGCCAAGGAGATGAGAGGTCAGGAGAGGACAGTGCCAGTCCCATCTGCCACGCGAGGTTGGAAGCATCCCTTCCCTTCGTCATTCTGGCTACCACTGTGCACTCTGTCACACACAGAGTTATTTCTGATCTCCCCAGGGGACAGCTCTATTACTGTCACCAGCTAGGGCTGCCTTGTGACAATCCGAGGCCTGGTGGGACTCCAAAGCCCGCACTGACATCTGTCCCTGTCCACTCTGTCTCCCTCTCTGCCTACCTTAGAGAAGTCTAAGCCTCCTCCAAGCTTCTGGTGCCTTCAGTCGGAGGCAGGAGAGGCCCTGTCCTGGGTGCGGTGCCTGGCGACCAGCTGGAATGCACAGGTGCAGAGGGAAGGTGACAGTCACTCCTCCATGCCTACAAGACGGTTGCACATCTGTCCAGCCACAAGTGAGCTGGAGGAGAAGGGGACAGATGGACTCTTCTGCAGCACACGGCACTTCCCACCCAGCTCTGAACCCGGAGGCCTCACTTCCGGAACAGCCAGACAGGGCAGTTTTCCATCTTTTTTTTTATTGAAATATAAAAAGTGCAAACGGTGAAATACAGGATTGGTGCCAAGGACGTCATTAGGTGTGGATGCGAACACTCAATTCACAGTACCACTGCCCCCAGGTACATGCTAGTGGGACAGGGGACAGGAGAAAGTTCCCAAAGCCTCCCCAGGAAGTGAGGCTGTGAGCAACACTCGATATACAAAGGCGGCAGGGAGCCCAGAGTCCTGGCCCAGGCCCAAGACACAGGAAGCCAGGCCACCAGTCAGTCCAGGCTCTAGAGGTGTCCTGCCTGGCCCCTGCGGTGGGCACAGGGTCACTGCAGAACAAGGCTGCAGGGAGATTTTCCCAGGGAGAAAGGGATGTCACCCATCAGGAGCCCAGGCTTTCTGAAGGACAAGGGCAGGCATCAGACTCCCTTGGCACAAAGCTAGGAGGAGCCCCTGCGGGGGTTGGTCTATCGTCAAAATCTCTGCCCCTCTTGTCGGTACTGTGAGCCTCAGCACCAGCCCAGAGTCCCCTTGCTGGAGGAGGAGCCACCACGGACAGATGCAGTATGGCCATTTCCAGTGGGTCCTGCATCCAAGCTGCCAGTCCTGGCAGAAGGGGGCTAGGACCCCCAGGAGCAGGGCCACTTGGGAGAGGTGGACCCAGAAGGCAGAAAGCTCCAGCCTGGCATCCCTCAGCTGCAAGGGACCCAGGGCTAAGCCGAGCACGAGAGGAGAGGCACAGGGGCTACATCTATGCCATGGGGCTTCTAAAGGCAGAGCAGGGCTGGGGATTTAGCTCAGAGGTTCCGGTGCCTGCTTTGCCAGTGCAAGGACCTGAGTTCGATCCCCGGTACCAAAAAAACAAAAAACAACAACAAAATAAAGGCAGAGCAATTGGACCCAGACAGGAGGCACCTGGGCATGGCAAAGCCACGCCTTGGAGTTTGACTGTTCACTCCCCAGTCACCACCAGAAAGGGGGACCATCCCAGTACCAGCCCAGCCCGCAGGGATCTGGCCATCCCACTGCCAAGGAAACGGAGGCAGAGAAAAGCAGAAAAGGGGTTACTGGGGTTCAGTCTTCCAGCTGGACGAGCCAAGCCCCACAGGAGCTGGGCATTCAGAGAGGCAGTGAGAGATGTAAGGCGAAGACAAACGTCTTGGGGACAGGAGGGCTGGGCAGAGCGGGAGAGTGGCAGCCCGGCAGATCCTGACCCCCGGGGAAGGTGCCCCGGCTCCCCTGAGGTGGAAGCCAGGAGGAAGAGTCTGAGGGGATGCCAGAGAGGGGCTGGTGGGCAGGGCTGGGCTCAGAGGGCCCTGGAGTCAGGGCTGGGGAAGAGCTCCCCTTGATGGTCCAGGAGGAACTTGGTGAAGGTGTTGATGGGGTTAATGGCCTTGAGGGTGATGGCGGCGTCCTTGGCCCACAGCAGGTTGGGGCCGAAGACCACGGCCAGGTTCGTGTTGGTCATCTTGTTCTGCTCACAGTGGGCAGAAACCTGGGGACGAGGCCGGGAGGCTGCAGCAGCTGGCCCTGGCCCACCCCACCCCGGCCCCCAGGTGAGCCTGGGGCTGAGGCCTCACCTGCACCAGGAAGGTGGTCAGGAAGCAAAGCACCTGGTAGTTCTCCTCGGGCAGCACCTGGAGCGCTTGCCTCGTCGCTTCCACCCTCTGGCTCTCATCGATGTCTGCAAGGAGCCGGGCCAGGTCACAGGGGCAGCGAGGAGAAGCCAGGACCCAGCCCAGAGCCCAGCAGGCTGGCAGAGCCCGGAGGAGAGGGGCACTCACCGAGGAAGCCCACCACGTGGGGGTACAGCTCAAAGGTGAGCAGGGGCTCGGGCAGCTCCCGCAGGAAGGTCTTCAGGATGACGGCCGGCAGGTGCAGCTCGTTGTACTGGTCGAAGTCCACAGCCAGGCCTGGGTGGCGGCAAGCAGTCAGGGTGGCCCGGCCACGGCTGTGGCCTCTGTGCCGCCCGCTCCGCTCCGCTCCTCCCCTGGGACTGAGGTTGTCCACGGGCTCCGCCAGGAGCAGAACAGAGCAGAGCAGAGCCTCAGGCTCCCGCTGGCTGCGTCTGGCCTCGGGATGAGCGCAGCGGTGGGAACCATGTCATCACGACACATGGCACCAAAACCCGGACAGAGGGGGTCTGGGTGGCAGAAGGCAGAGAAGCCCCAGGGCCGCAGGCCGCCGCTCACCCATGTTGTACTTGTGCTGTACCTCGCGGACCAGCTGGGTGTTGGCCGACCTCCGGAAGATGCCCTCAGTGGTGAGAGCTGCAGACAGGGGACCAGTGAGTTTCGGGCCCGGGCCCCGAAGTGCCCCCAGGGCAGCTGGGTGACCGCAGGGCGGCCCGGGGAGCCAGGCTCTGCACTCACCATGGGCCTGCAGGTAGGAGACGGTGTCCTTGAGCACCACGGGAATGGGCTCCTGCCCCGGGGGGCTCTTCTCCTGCAGGCTGGGACCAGGGTGTGAACAGGC